AAGACGCTCCAGAGCGACTTACAATCAGTGCATTAAATCCTTCTTCAAAATAGGTGCTATCTGCAAAATCAGTGTTAGCACGTGTCCATGTTATTGTTGGTGGTGGTGATGGTTATGGTACTGATGGAGGTAAGGAGAAGAGGCAAGGAACCCACTTTTGAAATGTTTGTTTTTTGTTTCCTTCAGATGACCACTGGAGGAGGCTATTGGGCTACAGAAAAAGCAACAATGTCCATTCAATAATGTTGTTTCAGTGGGCTATGCCAATTCAGTCACTAAGATGGATAGTAAAGCCTATTTGAAGACTCGAAAACTCAATTGGTAGGAGTACTGTTCTGAGGCTGAACTGGTGTAACTGCTATGCTGTACTTTTAATTTGGAATCGGTAAATTAGTACCATTACTGTTAAACTACTATCTATTACTATTATTGATTCTACTCTGGACAAAAGAGAACATGGAGATGAGGGAGAATAATGATAGAGAGCAGGAAGTGAAGCTAATATGGGTGGGTAGAACTTTACTGTACGGCTCGGAATAAGTGGAAATGACACGATAATAACGGAAACAGGTAATATAGCATGTTCCCGTACTTACTTGTTGTCTGAAGGGTTGTGGGGGGGCAGTGGGAGGGGTTTCCATGCTTGGCTGTCTCGCAGTGGCAATGCTCTTCCTGCGAGCGCGAGTGTGCTCTGTGAGAGAGAGAGAGAAGGAACCCAAGAACCTTAAAAAGTCCAGTCTGAAACTGTAACTCAATATCCACTCTGACCATGGGGAAAAGTGCAAGAACAGTCTAAACAAAAAATACAAACACAAACAAAACTTTTGTTCTGAGAAGTTGAAAATACTGTAACATGATTTTCACTACCATTCTATATCTCCAGGTGAGCCAGTGCATGGTAGTGCCTTATTGTTTTGTTCATCAGTTGGGTGCAGGTTTAGTCTGGGCCATGTTCAACAGGCAAATGTTGTGGAATGTTGTAGATATAATAGTCAAGAATAGAGCTGATGTGACTACTAATTCTAAACGTCAGAGAGGCATGCTTGTTCTACATACTATCTGAACATTTTGCTGTGCT